ATTGTCATAGAGTACATGAGCTTATGGGAGAGAGAGAGAAAGAAATTAAGAAATCAACCACAGAGGGGATGGCTATGCCACAATCCCTTATTCTCCATTCTCCTCTTGGAATTTTGGTTATGCTCTCACGTGTATCTGGCATGATTTTCAAGCCACCAGGTCTGAGACTTGAACCATGGTTGGCCATGCAGGAATCCAGTTCCTTAGCCATTACACCACCTGCCTGCCCTTCATTTTTCAGGATATTCTTAGAAAGATGGAGTCATTAAAGTGTTAATTTTTTTTATTGCTGTACAGCCATTGATGGTCGTGCTTATCCTAAAGACAGTCAAGTTAAGTAGTTATATACTCTAATGACATCACTGTTAAATAATTGTCTATTCTGCAGCAAGTAGTAAGGCTGCATTTCATATAAATATGAGTTAGGAAAATATGACATAGTAGGCATGCACCCCTAGCATCAGTGTGTTGTCTTTTTTTGTACAATGTGTGTTTAGGTGAATAGTTTTTGGCATTAATGACTAAAATACCACAGAAGAAAAACCTGTCTCCTTTATCATTTGCCTCTTTGTAGCCCTTAATTGGACCATTATTTGCCTCTTGATCTAGAATGTTTCTGCACTGATGAAGGTAAGAGTTGTGAATATCATCCTAGCAGTGAGAAGCACAATGCATGGATCCCACCTAGTGCGTGTACATCTATGTGTGCTCTTATCTTGGTCACATTCATTTTACTTCTTTCTGCAGATGTATCCAGCAGGGAGATAACTGTGCATAGTACAGTATAGTCCCAAAGTAAAATTTACATCTGGCTTTCTTTTTACAGTCTGACAGCAAGTATCCTTTTCATATATTTTTGGTTAAGTCAAAGTCACAGTTTTCCTCTTTTTTGCCAGTTTGTTACCATACTTCTCTCGTAAAAAATTGGGCATATTATAAGAGAATTGGGCATATTATAAAAATATCAACACTTTAATGAATACCCAATAGTCATAACAAGGATCAGATTAATCCACCCTACTTACAATACACTCCTCTGGATTATGTGCATAGTATCACTTATAATGCCTCATAGCCTCATATTAGGGGAATGACCTATTTCATGAGCAGCTAAAATAGTCTCCATAGTCAGATTTAGTACTCCTAAGGGACTGCAGTTTCTTAAAAACAAAAACAAAGAATTTCTCCTACAGATAGTTCTTGTTAACTGATGCCAAAGAATCTTTATAAACATACTATGAAAAAAGTAAGAAACTAATGTACCTTAGGGACTAATGTTTTATTTGCCAGTGTTAGAATGCCCTAAGAACACTGTAATTCTTTGATTCTATGTTTCCATAAGCTAATGAAACAACAGTATTTAATGTCTTATTGAAGTCTCCAAATAGTTAATAATAATTAGTGTTTCTCTCAACACTCTGATGCATTGGAATCTGTATTTGTATTTAATTTCCTACCATTATCCCAATCTTCGAATACATTTCTCTTTTGAGATTTTTTTCTACAGGGCATGTGTGCTAGGTGGAGATACAGAGAAAGTGAAAAATCACTTCCCAGGTTGGGTGGCCATGCCGCAGTCCCTTCTCTTCCAGTCATAAGGGCACACACACACACACACAAACACACAACACGAGTTTCAAGCTGCTGGGTTCAGGACTCAAGCTCTGGTCGACCATGTAGAAGTCCAGCACCTTAACCACCATGCCACTTCCTAGTCCTACAAAGACTTTTAATAATATATTTGTTCTTAAAATCATAGGTTACATTTGGGCCAAAGAATAGTGCAGTGATAAAATGCTATGCTCCGTGAGACAATCCCACAAGGCAAGGCTCCTGGTTAAAGTCTGGAGACCTCTCTGAGCGAACTGGGTACATGCTTGCTCGTAATTTGAGGTTGTGTGAAGGCTAGGGGTGGATTACTATCCTATTTATGCTCCCTCTCTCATTCTCTCAGTCATGAAATAAGAGAAAAACACTTTAAGCTTTAAAAAACAATGGGGTGAGACCAGCAGATGGCATAATGGTTATGTTGCTGGACTCTTACATAGTCAATTATGGCTCAAGTCCCAGACCTGGAGGATTAAAACTTATGTATGTGCGTGTGTGCCCAAAATCGTAAGAGGAGAATGGAGGAGAAGGGATTGTGGCATGGCCATCTTTGTCTCTCTTTGTCTCTATGGTGAGCATGTGCCCTATAGCAAAAATCTCTCTTAAAACAAAACAAAACAAAACAATGGGGTGTGTCTTCAGTCTCTTCTTTCAAGACTTTCATATCTAGTTATCTGTCTACATCCTCATCAGTTATACCACAATTTGGTGATGAGTTGGGCCTCTTCTAAGCCCATGTCCCAGTGGCCCTTCAAGCATGTGCTGGAAGCATCTATTGACTTCATATCACCTGCTCGAAAATCTCCACAGAGGAGTTGATGGTAACTTGCGGTTACCTTCCAGGGTTCTGTAGTTGTGGTTGAAAACAGAAGCATGTGAGGGAACGACAAGTACTTCCTGCCCTTTAGGTTCAGGAGTTAGGACAAATCCATCTATCTGTATGTCCTTATGGGAGCTCAGCCTTGTGAGGGTGATTTTTTAAAAGAGATAATCCTAGTCTGAGTGAACACAAGAGGTGTCAGAGGTGTGGCAAGAGCAAGAGGCTGACTTGGGACATGGCCCATGCCTGGGATAGGGAAGGCAGTGCCATGGTAGGTGTAGGCAGAACAAGAGTATGGGACAACCATGCTGTCTCTGAAAGCTCAATCCCCTCAGTGCCTGGGGCTTTCTTCTGATCCCCCTCAGAAAGATAGAAAATGAACCAAATTCCAGTGCCAATTCCTCTCTGAAGGTATAGCTGAGAAGAAAGGCCAGGCTTCACCTCTCATGAAGTCCTCATTCTATGTGAAGAGTGAGGCATTAAAAACTGTTTTTAAAAATTCATTATTTACTATAGTCAAAAAAAAAAAAATCATGAGATGCTAAAGGGTTTTAACATGGTGAAGAAAGGGCCAGTGAGTCCTAAAGAGATAATGTTTGAGCTGAACTCTGAAGGCTGTGTAAGAAATGGGAATAGCCAGAGAGCTTCAGGAACTAGTATGGAAGATCTCAAGGCAAGGGGAACAGCAAGTGCAAAGACCTTGAGGCCTAGAAGAAAAAGACGTATCTGAGGAACCAAAAGACGTCTGGAGAGCAGGAAATGCACCTTAATGCTAATAAGTGAGAAGTTGGTCTATTTGATATAAAAATGTATTGGTTTTGACATTTTCAGAAGATTGATTAAAATATCTCTTTCGTGCCTTAACTTCTTCAGTTTCTTCTCTTTTCCCCATCATAATCCACACCATTTTCTAGTGTTTTTGTTTGTTTTGTTTTCTAAGGAAGCTAAAGAGAGTTAATTAGATAACATAGAATGGAATCTAAGTTCTCATTAAATTTAGACTTAAAATGTGAGTCTAAAACAATGCTTTTATGAACCCACACAAAATATAAAGGAAAAATTTCATAGTAAGAATTCAGAACTGTTAAACCTCTTGACCCAGTCTTTTGTGTAAATATTATTGTGTTTAGGCAGATACAATTTAAAAAAAAAGCAAATATTCCCTTATTAAGTAAGGTATTATAAGAGAACTTTTAGGAAGATATTTTGAGTGTGTATACCAGTAGAATCAATGTGATTGGTCAGATTAAGGAAAGGAATGACAGCACAAATTATGTGGTGGTGAAGTCTTCACTTCTGTGTGCTAACTCATGGATGATACTTTCTTCCTATTTTCCTCAATAAATTATAAAAATTAAAGTTATAGATATTCTGGCTATTTGCTGCCTCATAATAACCCTTCCAGAGGAAACTCAGCTGGTGTCAGGTAATTATTTGTCATTTGAATCTAAGACTGTTTTTTTCATCTTGCCAAGTCATTTGATGTGTCCTACTTGGTGAAAGGAAAATCATAAATACCATTGCCATTTGTCACTGCTGCAAATCACTGAGTGGGCTCCCTCTGCTTATGTTTATCTAGCAACCAGTGTTGTGTTGCTAGTGTGAAGGTTGCCCCATATGAACCCTTCAGTCATTAGGCAGGACCTTTCAGCCCCACCTTTAGGGACAAAATCTAATAAACATCTTAAATTCTCCCCTGAATCTATGAGCATTCATGTAAAAGGAAACCAAGAAAACACATCTCAGATACACAAACTATATGAAAACCAAACCCATTTTCTACTTTGCTCCTTTAATCAGGACAATAGGTCTGTCAGAATATTTTCAAATTAAAAAAAAAATAAGGTAGTATTTAGCAATATTACTTCCTGATTATCTATGTAATAAATATCAAGTATACTCTCTCTATATTTCACTATACAAGCTGTTATGTTGATCTAGAATTAAATACTTATAATTGTATCCTATTTCTTATCTTATAAGCGAGGACTTGTACTTATCATTTTGTTAAATTACCTATTTGCTCAAAAGCCTCCAAGTCACTCTCTTCCTTAAAACCCTTCCAGGATCCTCAGAACTTACAGGATATATAGTGTGTAATTTTAATTTCTTAGCATATCATCAAGGCTTTTTGTCTTATTTATAAATATTGCTTCTATTTTAGCCTTTCTAGGATACTGTTCCTTCTATTCTGTCTTTTCTACCCTTGTAAGGTTCATGTGTTTGTCACATGTTTATAGTAGTTACATTGAATGTTTGTCACTTGTCATGAGCACCCTTGTATTTTAGTGATTTTTTTTTTTTTTGAGAGGTTTTTGTTACAGGGTGCATGCGTTTGCCAGAAAGACAGAGAGACAGAAAGCAAGAAATCACCTCCCGGGAGGATGGCCCCGCTGCAATCTCTTCTCCTTTCTCCTCTCGTGGTCTTGGGCACACACGCACATACGCCCAGTGTGAGTTTAAGCCATGGTGTCTGTGACTTGAACAATGGTTGACTACATAGGAGTCCAATGACCTAGCCATTACATCAACTGCTGGTCCCTTTTAGCGATTGTTTTAAATGTGTGTGTACCCAGCTTAGAAAGAAGGCAATGCATCAGAAACTTCTGTGGTCTTCACGCTCCCTTACCAAGTGTAGGTGTGTGGTGAGTAACTGTTGGTAACTAGGATCAGCATATTGGCTAATCATTTTGTCCATTTTATAGGAATGCTTAGTAGTAGTAGGTCATCATTATATATACTTTATATTCTTTCATTATGTTTTAAATGGTATGGTATACATCAATTTTATTAATATGCACGTTTATTGAAAAATGCCTTTTCACTCAAATATCAATAGTACTCTCATGATCATATTTAAAATCACCGACATCTTTAGTGTGACACATATAATGGCCACAGTGGCCAGTAGTTGGCATAACACAAACTTCTGTGGGGCTGGTTCAAAGTTTCAGGGCAATTTTCTTTGGGAAAAATGCCATGAAAAGCGATATTCAGTAAGATTTTCCCAAAGTAAAAGGTAGATTTACAGTGCCTGCTTAAACTTCCACGAAAGAGGTAAAAAGTGAGGAAGGAATTGTTCAAAAGATCATTTTTGTGCTAAGGAAATGAAGCATTTGGCACTGTGGTAGGCTCTGAGGAACACAGCAAGATGATGAGACCTAGGCCCAGCTTCAGTTTAGCGGAGGGGAAAAGAACCGAAGTCTCCACTCTGCTTTCTAACAGTGATGTTGGTCCAAATGCCTGCCCTTGATGGTGTGGAGGGGATTTCTACTGGAGTGCGACTTCTGATTTATAGGAATGCCACCAAGGTCTCTTTTGAAATGCAACTGTCTTTTTATAGTATAAATTATAGTTTGAACAACCTATGCCTGTGTTGCCCAAATGTAAATATCATTTTTAATGATGGACTAATTTTCTTTCCTGGATTTTTTTAGATTATTGATGAATTTTCTGGTAGAGGTAGATTGGGAGTGGATGCACACACACACACACACACACACACACACACAAACACAATGTTCACAAATTCTGGTCAAGAAAGGATTTTTCCAGAAGGTGAGACATAGCAGGAGACTTGTGCTACTTCCTGAGCCTTAGTTCTTAGGAAATATTTTCTTCCCTCTGCATCTGCTCTCTGCTGACCCTGACATGTCTTTCCCCTCCTTTATGGTGTGGAGGGGATTTCTACTGGAGTGCGACTTCTGATTTATAGGAATGCCACCAAGGTCTCTTTTGAAATGCAACTGTCTTTTTATAGTATAAATTATAGTTTGAACAACCTATGCCTGTGTTGCCCAAATGTAAATATCATTTTTAATGATGGACTAATTTTCTTTCCTGGATTTTTTTAGATTATTGATGAATTTTCTGGTAGAGGTAGATTGGGAGTGGATGCACACACACACACACACACACACACACACAAACACAATGTTCACAAATTCTGGTCAAGAAAGGATTTTTCCAGAAGGTGAGACATAGCAGGAGACTTGTGCTACTTCCTGAGCCTTAGTTCTTAGGAAATATTTTCTTCCCTCTGCATCTGCTCTCTGCTGACCCTGACATGTCTTTCCCCTCCTTTGACTTGAATATCAGTGTCTGGGTGGGGGTCTGCCCTAGGCCTTCCTTGTGGTACAGGTGCCCTTACTGACTTGGATCTCCTCAATTCTTCACCGTGATGCTGACCCCAAGCTTAAAATTCTTCAATTTCTTCGCATGAATTTTAGGTTCAAAGCCTAGTATCCAGCTTGGCGTAAAAAGGAAGGACATTTAGAAGAAAAATAGGGAGGCAAAGTATTAATATCACAAAGAAATGTGGTATTATCTGTTGAAGATATTTTGTAGTTTTATCAACTGTATTAGGGAGAAATGTTCACCTGTTCACCTGTTGAAATATCCATTTTGTAAGACAAATAATGTGATTGTATAAAGGAAAATGAAATGAAAAATTAATTAATTAATTAAAAATTTTCCTCTACCTCAAAGAAAAAATAAATAAAAAGATCTGCATGATCTTGCCACGGTCCACCTTTTTGGTCTCATTGTCTGCTACTTCCTCTCCTCTTCTATGCTGTGAATTTCACCCAGGAGCTACTACTTGCAGTGCTTTAAAGAAACTGCTTTTTCACACTTCTGTGCTGTTAGTTCTCTGCTCTCAACACTCCTTTTTTTCTAACCTAGCACATTTGACTAAATCTTAGTCTTCAGTCTCTACCAAGGCATCATTTTCTAGCTACCTTCCCTCACCCCTGTCGTTGTAATTAGAGTTCTTATTTCTAGGTTTCCAGATATCCTATGCCTTCACATACATTTATCGTATTTTACTGAGAATGCTTTTAGTTGCTTTCTAAATTTTAAAATTATTTTTATCATCTTCCTTTCCAACCTATAAACTCTTGAGGTCAGTAATTGCGTCTTATTTATTTATTTTTAAAGAATTATTTTATTTAACTTTGTTTGTTTATTTATTTATTTTAATTTGACTAAAGAGGGACAAAGCAAGAGAGAGAGAAAGGCTCGAGGGTGTGTGCACTTGCCAGAGTAAGAGAGAGAGAGAGAGAGAAAGAGAGAGAGAGAGACCGAGAGAGAGAGAAAGAGAAAGTGAGAAAGCAAGCTGCCAGGTCTGGGACTCAAACTGCGGTTGGCTGTGTGGGAGTCCATCGCCCTTAACCACCATGCCACCTGCCGGCCCCAAGGATCTTATTTATTTTTATATCACTGGGTCTTGTAAATTGCTTACCATGCAGACCGCAGTAAATGTTGAATGAGTGAGTAATGAATGAGCTAGATTCCTCTAGACAGCATTTGAGGATTATTAGGAGATTGTTAGAGGCATGTGAAATAGGAAATTTTCTAAATAGATTATAGAGCAGAAAAAGAGGCTAAGTAGGTGCTGACAGAATAAAGCAAATAAATAATAAATTATTTAATCCCTGAAGAACCATGTAGATGAATAAACATGAAAAATTCACAGTGCCCTGCACCATCTTTAAATAATGTCAGTGAAAGGGCTTTCCTACATTTATGAGCCTAAACTCTTTGTGCAATATCATGGAAAGTTTATCTTGATTTTAGATAAGCACATACGGCTCTACAGTTCTCTGTGCAGGACTTTAATTACACACACTTTATGCAATCAGCACACAGGACAAAAATAACTCATAGTGCAGTAAACCTGAAATCAAATACCCAAATGTACATGTGGATGTTTGCTGTGGCTCGGAGGCATGCTATGACTTGGACATCTTTCCAGAAGGAAACATTTTGTTCCTTTGCTCAGTGCTACATTCACAGAAGCAAATGATCCCAACGCTTTGCGCAATGAGTAGTATATCCTTACCCTCCTCCATGAAGACCTCCCCTGGGACCCTCTGCTCCTGCATAAATGCCATGCTGTAGCCCTTACATGAATGTTACAGACATCCTCATGTGCTTCATAAGCTAAAATACCCACCATCTCCTGCATTTAGCTCTAAAAACTACTTAAGCCAAAGTTATCTCCTGTACTCATTCTCTTTTCTCTCTTTGCAACCTCTCCAGAGTATCTAATTCACAGTTATTTTTCAAAAAATTTAGGCATTTATCAATTTATTTCTGCAACATTTTATATTGTTCTCTATGTATTTTACATGTTTTGTCAGATTTATTCCTAAATATCTAATTTTTGACACTACTGTAAAGGTATTTTTTATTTTCTAATGATTTATTTTTATAGAAATACAATAGGTTTTTTTTAACTTCCCTTAAATTCTATAGACTTAATAAGCTTATTATTTAAAAAAATATAGTAATTGCTAAAAATTATTTTAAAGAAAGTTTAAAAGAGTTGACAATTTTCATCATAAAATCACACATTTAAAAATAAATGTGGGAATTCAAACAGAAAAATTAAAATAATATTCTTTTATGTTGTTAATATTTTAGTATATTTTTTGCTATTCCTTTAAAATAATATTTTTTAATATTTAATTTTGCCAGAGGGTACATGTGCTAGCCAGAGAGAGAGAGGGTGAACTCACCCTTCAATGGAGTGTTGTCATGCTGCCATCCCTTCTCCTCCATTTCTACACTTCATCGGATTTCCCCTGGCATATTTTTCAAGTCACCGAACTGATACTCAAACCACAGTGAACCACTGTGAGATCTGGTTTCCTTAACCACTAGGCTACAGAGCAAAACTCATTTGTAGTTTCTTTACACCTATTACTTTCATAGCAGTCCATATTACATTTATATAATAGCTGATTATAAATATATCTCTTCTGTGAAATGGCAATTTTCTCAAAGGAAGAGTCTATATTTTATTTACTCCTCTATGTCAATTGCCTAGAACAGTCTTTCATATAGTCAAACTAAAGAACATTTGCAGAATATATGGAAGGTTGGTAAATGACAGTTACATTGTCTTGGGTCATCAGAATTCATGATGCATTTTTGCATAGCAAAATGTAGAAAAATACATGATGTCTTATCTAACAACCCAATAGTTATTCTCGTGATTTTGCATTGGAGTCAATAATGGCTAATTCAATCTCTAAAAATTTAGTATAACACACTTCTTATTATATTTTGGTCAAAAGTAGAAGTTAGCCTAAGGCAAATGTTTGAATACCAGGCATTTAGAAAATTGATGAGTGTATTTAAAATTACAGGTGGGACAGTTATTTGTGTCCATTGTTATACTTCTGACCTGAATTTGGCTGTATCAACTTTCATGCTCTAGAAAGCTAAAGACTATATCTACAGAATGTAATATAAAAAAATGCGTTTTAGATTATTTGAAAAATGAGCTAAACAGATGAGTTATATGGTTAATATAGGTAATCTTGGTCAATTGGCTAGTTTCTGATCAAAGATATCTTAAATAAACAATCTTTTCTTTAAATAAGTATTTGTTTGATTTTTTATTATTATTATTATTATTATTACTTTTGTTATAGGGCATGTGCACTCACCAGAGAGAAATGGGGCAGGGGGTGAGAAAGCAAGCTGCCAGGTTTGGAACTAGAACCACAGTTGGCCATGTGGGAATCCGGCACTTTAACCAGCACACCACTTGCTGACCTCATAGATAAAGAATCTTTCTGGGACCAGCAGTTAGCATAATGGCTATGTTGCTGAACTCCCACGTAGTCAATCGCAG